AAAAAAAAATAAATAAATAAAATAAAAAATAAATAAAATAAAATACACATGCACACACACTTTATATTTTAACAGAACAGATCCGTCTGTGACACCCAAATTTTTCTTACAGTCACAGGCATGTCAGGAATTCTGGTCACTGAAGTTCCTTGAAAACTACTGCTCAAAAACTAGGGATAGGGCTGGCTGGTCAGCTCACTTGGTAGAGCGTGGTGCTGATAACACCAAGGTCAAGGCCAGACACCAAAAAAAACAAACCCAGGGATTTTCTATGTCTTCCTTATCTAAGAGATTAGTGAGCTTGGGCTATTTTATCTGAAAACACATAAATTTAATTCCAGAATGTTAATTCAATCAATACATCTGTGTTTTATATCAGAGTGAATTTTTCAGTAAAAATCCAAGACATTTCTTTTCTTCTATATTACACTAAACTATATGTAAATATGAGGGTACTTCAAAAAGTTCATGGAAAGACTTGAATTATCTTTCAATTCTATTTTTTCCACAAACTTTCTGAAGTGCCCTCGTATGTTTTTAATTTCCTCCTTAACTTTCAAGGCTTAAAAATCAAAGAATTTCCTTTCTCTAGATCCTGTAAGTCATAACTGCTATCATCCAGGCTCAGGATTTTGTATAAAAGAACCAGCTTTTAAAAATGAAATAAAATCTAGGACAAAAGGGCTCTGGAGCCCCGGCTAGGCCAGGAAGGGAGGAAGCAAAAAACAGGGATGAAGAAAAAGGTAGTAAGACTGTCTAAGAAGATGGCCAATCTAACACGAAATACCTGGGAAGAGGAGGAGTGGGGGGTTGGGGGGGGACAAGAGGTAAAGTCATGGCTTGGTCTCTTTTACTCTTGGGTGGCTGTCAGCATGGGTATCTGAAAGAACTACCCAGATTGCAGAAGAGAGAGGTTCCAGCCTCCTTGGAAGGACATGGCTGCTGTAATCATGATGGAGTAGGAAAGGAGACACAGGCAGTCAACTGTTTAAAAGCTGAGTGTTACCTATAAAACTCAAGGTAACAAAAAGCTTCTTTGATTTGTAAACTTGCACTCATAAATACAATCTGTCAAAATAGAATTCAGTACATTTTTTTCAACAAGTCTCTTCAACAGGGATACAATATTCTTCCCTTTGGAATCAGCGCTTTTAAATAAAAAATTTACTACACAGCCATTTTCCAAAGCAACATTATAGTTGAGAACAGCTACTTGGAGGAGAGTGGATAATACTGCTGCTGGAGGGTGCACACACGTTAGGATCTCGTGAGGATCTTACTGAGGATTGCATCATAGTAGGGACAGAAGACCATCTTGTTATAGTTGACCAGGCGGACGAATTTAATAGCAACTTCTTCCAGCTCTTTCTGAACTGGACCCAATCCCCCAGGTACTGTGGGTAATGGCTTCTGATGGCCCGAAGCAAGGTAGGTTTCTAAGAAGGTCAGGATTCGGGATTCTGTGATGGAAAAGAAAGTGGTTAGTTGTTTCTTGCTCAGGGTGAGCTCACGAACTTCTGATGACATTTCAGTTCTTAGCTTAACCATCACCTCTTTGGAGAAATCTTCACTTCTCCACATCAGATACCCACGGCACCTTCCACTTCTGAACATTTTTCCCATTTGTAATGTTTTTCTCCCCTTCAAGATGGTTAGTTTCATGTAGGCAAGAACCATACTTTTCTGGCTCATCATTTTCTCCTCAGCACCTAGCACAGTGCCTGGCACAAGACCTAGCTCCCAGAAGAAGCTCAAAACACATTTGGAATGCAAGAATGAATTATGGATGAATAAAGGGAGAACAGAATGTAACACATTCTGCTCTCGGAAGAGCAAGCCATACTGAGACCAACATTAGCCATTGTTGAAGATCACATAAAAAGGAGAAAAAACAAAGCAGGAATTACAAGTTCAAAAAAGAAAAGAGCATACAGAAGATTCTAGCACTGTTGGTTTATGATCTCTCTTTTCTTACTAAGCCCACATAAAAAAAGCATGAGCTTCCTTCTTTGATGCCTACAGTGGAAGGCCATGGAAGTCGTGGGCATTTGTAAATTTGTCCTACTCTGAGGAATAATTTAGGCCGATGCTCTTTTAGCCCATTCCCCTCTACACTGCTTCTGCGTTCTCCTGTGTGTCCTCATCAGCCAAAAAAGATTTGATCAAGCCGCACTTCTTGCAGATTTTATTACAAAAACAATAGGGACATTTATATTGAATAGGCTTGTCCTGACCCCTGCCCCGGGGTATACTCCCAGGTGCGAACAACTTATACCTTTCCAAGCCCCAAAACACACTAGTGGAAACTGCTGATGGGACGGGTCCTATCACCCCATTCCTAAATTAGTCTGGTTCTCTAAGGTTCCCAGAGCTGAAAGCCTCACCTAGAAGTGGAGATCTTCATATTATTCTTACCCACAGGCTGGTTTTTATCCTATGTCTGTAACTTCCTATTACAAAAGAGCCAAGATGGCAGGACGAGAAGCAGACCTTGCTAGCCACAGGTCTATTTACAGGCCCTTTCCTGCCCTTCTGCCCAGATTCAGAGTATAAATCTGAGAGCCCTGCAAGATCTGTAAGAGCTTCCTCCTGAGTGTCCCACAGACTAAACTGTGACCAATGCAGGGCTGGGATGAAGTGGTTTTTTTAAGAAATAATTTTTAGGGCCGGCCCCGTGGCGCACTCGGGAGAGTGCGGCACTGGGAGCGCCGTGACGCTCCTGCCGCGGGTTCGGATCCTATATAGGGATGGCTGGTGTGCTCACTGGCTGAGCGCAGTGCGGGCAACACCAAGCCAAGGGTTGCGATTCCCTTACCAGTCACGAAACAGACCAAAAAAAAAAGAAAGAATTTTTAAAAAACCATTGATTCATGTTATTCTTTTTCCATGAAATATTACTTAAGAATAGAAAGTCACAGTATTAGAAGCAGCCCCAAGTAACTGGTCTAGTCTTCTACTCCAATCTGAAATATGAGTATGATAACCATGGATCATTCAGCTTCTGCTTGAAGCTTGCTAATTCCTTGATATTTATATGTTTGACACTTATCTGCTTTCAAAGAATTTGAGAAAGGGCTTCAAAATTAATTAAATCAGGTTAAAGACTTTAACCTAAATTTTTAAATCTGAATTTTAAAAATGAAACATTGTATCCCAGAGAACAGAATTTTTCTCCCCCCACTCCAGCTTAAGGTATAGTTGACAAATAAAATTGTATATATCTACAGCGTACAACAGGATGTTTTGATATATATATTGTTAAGTCAAGCTAACAGAATTGTTCATAGTGCCACTGCTGTAATGATGAAGAGTCATAGCTAATATAGAATATTTTAACACACTATTAAAATAATACTTTAATACTTTATTTAAAATGTTCAGAGTACTTACTATGTGCTGCTAGGCACTGTGGTAAGCACTTTACCTTTCAGCAACCTTGTAAAGTTGTTGGAATTAACCTCTTTGTAGGGATGAGGAAACCCAGTGTCAAGTCACTTGCCTGAGCTACAAAGGAAGTGCAGGAGGAGGGTTCTGAACCAACCTTGTGATTCTGGACAAGGAGTCCTCAGCACAATGATGGCCGCCTGGTCACCTACCCATCCTCTGTGTCACCCTGATCATCCTGTGGTGACTAATCACTCTCTCCTCCCTCATCAACTCTCATAATCCCATCAAAACCCTTCTAGATTTCTTCAGAGGGGCCTGTCCTGCAGCCCCTCTGAGGGCACATCCCTCTGCCTAACTGTCCCCAAACGTACCCATGATCCTACAAATAGGGTCGTCAGGACTGGCCATGGCCTGGATCTGGCCCTTCAGCACGGTCTCCTTGTCGGTGGTAAAGAGGGAGGACCCACACAGGGCAAGGCAGCTGTTCACCTCCAGGCAGACTTTCTCCCCAACGGTAGTCAGGGCATCCTTCAGATAGAAGTTGCTAGAACGGAGAAGGGAAAAGAGAAGCCAGGGAAAGAAAGGGCCTGTAAATAAAGTGCATATCATGCTAGCTCCAACAGCCCATGCCCTGACAAGAGTCACACCACCACTGAATGAATTTATGGGGTCAAGGGAGAATTTGTAACTCTCGTTCCTGATCCCTTCTCTCTCCAGCTGTGTACACTTAACTGGGGAGGACTTTCTCTCCTTCTGCTAGAAAGGACAACAGAGCTGGCTGGTTAGCTCAGCTGGTTAGAGCACAGCCTTGTAACACCAAGGTCTAGGGTTCGTTTCCCCATACTAGCCGGCCGCCAAAAAAAAAGAAAAAAAAGAAAATATATAGGGGTTACTTCCCTTGAAGAATCCTCTGACTTGTACCTTGTCAGATACAGTGTTTACTTAAAACCACCCAAAAATATTCTGTATGCTGTAAACCATATAAATCACCTAACGTGATGCCACTGTGGGAACAGCTACTGAAGCCTGCAGGCACGTTGATGTGGATTCATGCTGGGTAATAAAATGATACATTTATACCCACCACAGAAGGTCTGTAAGGAATGCGCAAAGTGCAGAAAACTTTAATCACATACATGCAACTTTGGAGAAATATAGCTTGTTTCTTTCATGACCTTTCTCTAGGGCTATGATTTTCACTGTTAGTTGTGAAAGCAATTCAGTGGGTGAAAACCAGTAATTTTTTAATGGAATAAAAATGCAGAAAAAATATATCAAGATGTGTTAAGCATAGTTAGGGTAAGTCCCATTTTGTGAGGTTTTTAGTTCAGTTACATATGAGGGGTCTTCAAAAATTTCACAGAAGGATTCACACTATCTTAATTCGATTTTTCCAAGAACATTTTGAAGTACCCTCGTGTGTAAGTGTGTACTAGGTCACAATGGAAAATAAATTTCTTATTGTGAGTTCTAGTCACAAACATTTCGAAGCCACTATCCTACAGCTTTGCTAACCCTAGAGGTGATTCCAGTTTTGACCCTATGACCTTGAATAGGATCTTTACCAAGTAAACAAAGTTAGAGAGCAAGGTTTCTTCTCAGTCCTAGAGAATGGTCCTGGATTCGGCCTTACACTGGGAGACCCCCTCTGGGACCCTCCAGTCTGCTCTCTGCCACCTACTGCCTCCCATCCAGCCATTAAAAGTCCACTCCAGAGTTTTCAGCCACTTACGGCAGATGCATATCTGTTAGCAAAATCTTCACAATCATCTTGAGTTTCTCAGCAAAGCCAGCCTGGCTGGAAATTCTCGGGGCTGCCATGCTGAATGTGACCAATAACACAGCCCCCAGGATGGTCAGTTGCTTCAGCTGGAGCTGGAGTTCTTGGAAGCGAGATTGGTCCATCAAAACTGTCTGTAATGAACACAGGAGAAGCCATTGCTGAGCTGCAGATTCAGGCTGACCAGCAGAGGGCGGTGAGACCACAGCCCCCCACACCATCCTCTGCAGTTTCCCTCGGGATTTTCTGGAGTCATTTCAGAGCTACAGGGAGTCATGTGCAAATTATCCTTCCATCTCAGAGCTCCTTCTCCCTGAGAAACGCTGAAGTATAGCACTCTCATTAAAAA